ACACACACATACCCCATACACACTACATACACACACCCCACACACACACCACGGGTTGGACCCTCTGCTGTGCAGACGGATCAGTGGGGCAGTTAATCTGCTCTGAGCAGCCACAGACAGGGACCCTGGTCATCTGGCCATGCAGTGACGCCTGGTGAGTTTAGTCGCTGCAGCTCCAGGCTCCCGGGCATGTGAGACCGCGATGGTCCTTGCACCCTGAGGGATGGGGCTGAGACACTAAGAGCCTGGCAGGAAGATAATCTTCCTCTAGGCTCTACCTGCTACAGCTGGGACTGGGGTCTGCCTCTGGTAGGAACAGAAAGCATTTTCCTGAAGAGAGAAAAGGTGTTTCTAATACTACAGCCAAATGGATGAATATTTTCCCCAGAGACACGTTGCTTTCCTTTTTCCCAGGAGGGGGCTGTCTCTCTCACTTTGGACCCTAACAAGGCCTCTGGAGAAGCCAAACACGAGGGCCATTTCCTGAGACTCCCCCTCCACCGCGGCCCTCCCATGCTGTGACCCCGTTGGACCTGCAGGTCCCTTTGTGAAGCGTCTCCTCTGGGCGCCTGTGTGTGGGTCCCCCTAACAAGCCAGTGAGGCCGACGGCATCGGGTCACTTTCACAGATGAAACTGTGGCTCAGAGAGAGGCTGAGCCGTTAGCCCCAGGTCACATGGCCAGTAGGGGACAAGCAGGGTGAAGCCCAGCCCACCAGACTGACTGAAATGTGCTGTTCACCGTCCTCAGGTGCTTCACTCTGTAACCACCTGTGCACCGTAGTCACACGTCCTCCGCCCCTCTCAGGTGTTCTCTCCTAACAAGCTCAATTTTAACTCCTTGAATCCCGCCCTACCCCCCAACTCAGATCCTTAAAGCCCAGCTCTGGGCAGCTTTGGCTCCACCCTTCTTAGCTGTGTGACCTGGGGTGAGTCACTTAACCTCTCTGAGCACTCAGCCTTCTCATCTTTCACGTGGGGATAACCTTTTCCTCACTACCTACCGTGCAGCACGCTGCACCGTCACAGATCACGTGCCTGGCCTTGCTCTGTCGAATGTGACGCACTGGCGGGGTGCTGCCCACCCCGGCCGTCTGCCCCAGAACTGGGGCACAGTCCTGAGCAGCAAGTCTCCTTTCTGCCTCCCCCAAGCCCACACTATCACTCAAGGAGTCCCGGGAGGCCCTGAGTGTGGCAGAGGAAACCCCAGCAGGCTGAGCCCGCACCCAGACCCTGGTTACATTGCTGGCTGGGCGACTTCCCTGTGGGCACCTCAGTACTAAAGGGCCCAGCGCTCGCTCCACCCTTGAGGACGCAACGTGGACAGGGTAAAGGGCTCTGAGTTTCTTAGAAGGAAGAGCAAAACCCAAGAGCATGGATTTCCCGTAGGGAGTTTACCCAGGTGCTCCAGAGTCAACAGCTTAACTACCTTTCTTGGGGCTTAAACAATCCAACCCAACCCTGCAGGGGGTGAGTTGACTGCCCACTGTGCCTTCCTGGGTAGGTATTTGAGTCATGCCCTTCTAGGTAAATTCTAGCCCTGAGCTATAATCAACCAGCCCCCCACCCCATACTCACTGAACGTGGAGAGCGTGCCCAGCATTGTGCTGGGAGGGTAGGACCTCAAAGTGGACTTGGGGACACAGTGAAATGCACAGGGAACAACACAGTGACTAGGACACTGCCTGAGGCTGAGCTGCTGCACACTCGGGGATTTAGGAATTAAAGGGGGACCAAGCTGGGATGTCATCTTCGGAAAAGCCTTCACGGTGCTCAGCAAGGCTGTCCAAGAAGCCAAGACAGGATGTGCCCCAGAGGTGGGGTGACATCTCCTTTTGCATGAAAGAGACTTCTTGCAGAAAAGCCTGAGATCACTAATTGCCCATTTTCCGAACACTTTTCTTTTTCAATGCACTTTAGCTCTGTTTCTTGAAGCAAATTGATTTTAAGAAATATTTTTAAAATTGAGGAGTTTTTAAACATTTCACCCCGCCGTTGGTTTCCTCACAGGCTTGTTTATAGATTTGAGGTATTCAGATGGTTTTGAAGATTGGGGTAGGAGAATGTGCAGGATAAATTAAAAGGGGAGGAATCTGCCCCATCCCGGATGCCTGTGGCCCGGCTGCACGTTGGCATTACAAGGAAGCTTTCAGGCATGCGAGTGCTGCGCCCACCGCAAGGGATCGATTCCTCCATCTGGGTTGGAGCCCGGGCATCTGTGTTCTTTTAAACGCCTCCAGGTGATTCCCAACGTGCAGCCGGGGCCGAGAGCCCTTGAGAGCACTTGGAGCCAGCGTTTCAGGTCTTCCCTCTCCCCCGTGAGCTTCTGCTCAGTGCCGCTTCTGTCTCCCGCAGAGCCAGCCCTCCTCCCTGGCCATGCTGGACCTTCTGCACGTAGCTCGGGACATTGCCTGCGGCTGTCAGTATTTAGAGGAAAACCACTTCATCCACCGGTGAGTCAAGGCAACCTTGCCCTTCCCGCGCTGTCTGTGTGCTTCCCTGTGTGTCTCGGGGGCCCGCGTTTCCCAGTCAGAGCAGAATTCTGGGTCTCTCTCCAGCACTCACTGGATGACTCAGCTCTGTCGTCTTTGAAAGCAACATAATCAGGGCTTCGCTTGTCCCACTATAACACGGGTATCACAATATATCCACGCCAGTGCTGGGGACCTGTAAGTTATTCTTGACCTCCTGTGGGGCCTCCTGCCTGTATCTTGAATGTTCAAGTCCTGTATCACTTTAAGGTTTCCCCATCTAGAAAACTGGGCTCCTTACAAGAAAGTTAGAAGAATTATTAATACATTTTTTCACAATAGGCAACTCGAAAGAAAGGACCCTGTTTTATTCATATTTGTATCCCTGGCATATAGTGGGGGCACAATAAATGTTTGTTGGATATGTTACTTTTTTCTAAAATACTCCGAAATGAAGCATAATGATTATTTTCTTTACAATTATACTTCATTTCTTTTACTATAATAATCCTTGTGTTTAAATGCTGTTTGGACTGGGACATCACGTCCACACTTGATGCTACAAACACCATAGATCACACATTGCTTTCCTTGTGGATGTTGGTGACTTTCTCAGCTGATAGCTTGATTCTGAAATCTGAGAAGTAAAATAGATCGTTAGGCTATTTGCAAGGCTCTTCCTTACTGATTTGCTTCTAATTCAGTAATAACCTGAACTCACAGTCATATATTAACCCATGTCTTCAAAGAGTTTAAGGCATATTCATAATAATTACAATATGAGATGCCCTATGAGCTTAGAAACAGAAAATATGTGGCCTAGCCCAGTGGCTCACGCCTATAATCCTAGCACTCTGGGAGGCCGAGGCAGGAGGATTGCTTGAGGCCAGGAGTTGGAGACCAGCTTGAGCCAAGAGCAAGACCCCATCTCTACAAAAAATAGAAAAGTTAGCCAGGCATGGTGGCGTGCACCTGTAGTCCCAGCTACTCAGGAGACCAAAGCTGGAGGATCGCTTGAGCCCAGGAATTGAAGAGGTTGTAGTGAGCTACGATGACACCACTGCACTCTAGCCAGGGTGACAGAGTGAGACCCTGTCTAAAAAAAGAGAAAGAAGGCCGGGCGCGGTGGCTCACACCTGTAATCCTAGCACTTAGGGAGGCCGAGGCGGGGGGATCGTTGAGCTCAGGAGTTCGAGACCAGCCTGAGCAAGAGCGAGACCCTGTCTCTACTAAAAAAATAGAAAGAAATTAGCTGGACAACTAAAAATATATAGAAAAAATTAGCCGGGCATGGTGGCGCATGCCTGTAGTCCCAGCTACTCGGGAGGCTGAGGCAGGAGGATTGCTTGAGCCCAGGAGTTTGAGGTTGCTGTGAGTTAGGCTGACACCACGACACTCTAGCCCAGGCAATAGAGTGAGACTCTGTCTCAAAATAAAAAAAAAAAAAGAGAGAAAGAGAAAGAGGAGGAAAGAAAGAAAAGCATGCAAGTACATAACGAGCTGTGCTTCCTCCCTAATAAAAACGAGGAAACCAGAGATCAGGAAGTACGCTCGCCTGAGTTCCCAAAGTCGCCCCTAACACTAGGCGATAAAGTCTCTCACAATAGCTTATCCTTTTACTGTTGCTTCACCATTTTGGTCTTCAGTTCTTCCTCTTGATTTTAAATCTTTCCAACTTGTGGATCCTCCTGCCTGAGAGAAATAATAGAAGCAAAAGAGAAGCTGGGACCAGCTTCAAATGTCGGGTGGTTCCTGTTCTTGTCCTTTTCGTTGTAGACAAAACTTTCCCTAAATCTCACCTCTGGGCTTGTTTGTTGCTCAGTTGAAACAAGGTTGCTCTTTTCAGAAGTCATCTGTGGTTAGAGCCATCTTCCCATCTTTTGTCCATGTCGTTGGAGTCTGGACTCCTGAAATCACCGGAGCAACCTGAAGCCACCCTTTGTTTCTCAGTGAGATCTTTCCTGCTTTGTTATCTCCAGCCCACGTTGCTCACCGCAGCACACAGATTCTCTGGCTGAAGGATCATGTCCATCTTTCCCCTAACCTTCTGAAACCTGCTTTCCCGGAGTCACAATCTGTTTTGACTATATCCAGTGTTCCGTGGTTATAAATGGCACAGGATCACATTCTCTCACGAATCCTATCACTTCCGTCTCTATAAATAGTTACTGAAGGTCAGAATTAGCTCCCAGAGTAACAGTTTGTTGCTCTTTTATCTTTTTTAAGAAATTAAATTGTTGAAGACCAAATCAAGAATGTATCAGATGATCTGTTTTAAGCAAAAGGAAACATCTGGCAGAAATTGTCCATCTCAATCAAAGCTTGTCTTCTGGAGTAATTTGGTCATTTGTATTCGGAAAGCGGCCTTTACATCTTCTAACTAAGAGGTCTGTGGTATACACCACAACAGAACCACCTCCGATGCTCTCTCTCCCTCCCCCGTGTCTGCCCTGACATTCACGGGCCTCCACACACCTGCGCTTCTGAACTCAGAGTGGAACTGCCTCACCAGGTCCACGTGCTCCCGCTTTTTATTAGATTGGTTTCCTTTGGACATAGTTTATTGCCATTTCAAGAATGATGTGTCATTCTATCACCTCTTGGTGTGTTCTATGATATTATATTTACTTTCTTGCCCTGAAATTCAAGATCACTTTTTTAAACAATCATTCCGTATGCATCAGCATAAAAACCTTTCTGGAGCCATAAATATTGTTCCTGGTCTACTTGGCCATATTTCTCTTGAGAATTAATGGCCATATCCAACTATATTTCTTCTTTTCGATGTCATATGTGCTATGCTTTGTGGTTTTATGGGGGCATTTTATACACCATCATCCCTGAAAATTCAACTTAAACCTTCTGGATCAGGTCAATGGCATTAACAACATCCATTGTTCTTATATCCTCAGCCGCAATCTTCAATCCAGATCATATTTTTTTAATACTATCTTAACAGCCAGTTGTTTATCCTCCAAGTCCTTTCTCAACCAAGGATCAGAATCTTCATGAAACCAACTGAATATGAAAACGCCACCTGTGGCTGCTAAGTACTTCTTGTTTTTTCCTGCACAGGACTCTAATATTCTTAGAGACCCATTCCAGACTTCTATCTGCATCCTTCATTCCCACACGCATAACCACAACGAGTGAGCAGTCAGAGAGGAGAAGTGGATGAGTTCTGGAAAGCTTTTGGCCATGCCTCAGAGGCCTGCTACAGGAAAACAGGCCATCTGCAGTCCAAAGACAAAGCCAACTTCATCACTTGAAAGAAGTGATTCTTCAGCCACGTAGCTTAGCCAAAGCTTTAGATAAAACCATGGGTGTAAGAACCATCCTGGCTTATTTCTTTAAAAACTAGAACTATTTAGGGATATCTTAAACTTGAATTTGATATCATAGAAGTCATGCTATTTTAAAGCACTCCGTCCAACAACTGGCAGAAACCAACCAGTGGTCTGTAGAAAACAAGTAGCATTTCTTATGCTTCTGCATTATCTGCTTTTAGCTTATTGTTTTAATAAAATGAGGATAATAATAGCACCCTGTATTTTATAGCGTGGTTGTGAGAATTAGACATGAAGTATTTACAACAATGCTTAGCACATAGTAAAAGGCCAGCAAATTCTAGCTCTTACTATAATTATTTCATTATTGTTGTCCCATTAAACATTTTCAATCATTTGCCTTACCCTTTTCCATTTTCCTGTGAGTTCTGAGGCCTAGAATTGGTAACGCTGTTTCTTTCACACTGAAGTATAATATAACAAAGGAAATATAGGGCAGAGCAGGGAAATATTTGAACTTCACATTGGAGGTAAAAATTCTAGCAATGGATATTGTACATTTATCTTCCCAAGATTAAAATTAGGAAATGCAATTTCTCATTTTTTTTTTCTTCCCAGGGACATTGCTGCCAGGAACTGCCTCTTGACCTGTCCAGGCCCTGGAAGAGTGGCCAAGATTGGAGACTTTGGAATGGCCCGAGACATCTACAGGTGAGTAAAGACTGCCAGGACGCACCCAGGCCTGTCTCCTCCAGCTCACGCCCTCGAGACAGCAGGATGGGGCCGCCCGTACCTTACAGCATCTCCCAGGACCTTGTCAACTTGTCGCCTAAAATTTCATTAAGTTCCTTTTCACCATATGGGAAACTGTGATTAGTGCCCCCATACGTGAAGGTCTAAATCTAGGATCATGCTGCCTCTGATAATTGCCACCAAGTTCTTAATTAGGTTGTCTTTCTGGTACCAACGCTCTGATCCTGCCATGACCTGAGAACACAGAAAAACTTGGATACTTGATGCAGAAAAAGCTTCAAAGTCAACTTTATTGAACTTCCTGAACCCTTCTTCTCAAGACTCAGGAATTCTAAGTGGCCACAGCACCCAGCACCCTGGGCACCAGCACCCCAGAACTGACAGGTGCTGGGCACAGCTCCTGGCGTCTTACCCACACCAGGAGGCCTGGGAGTGGGGCGCAAAGCAACAGGCTCTTAGCTCAGCTTCTTTTCTTCTTCCCTGTCATATTCTCACTGCTGCATAAAAAATCACCATCATTATTTTTTTTCAGTTTTAAAAACTACTACTACTTTTATTGAACTTTATCCCACCTTCTCTTCCCAACTCCTAGAGTTGTTTTTTTATCTTTTTCCTAATTATTTACAACATTGACTTGCTACATGAGCTGAACAAGTCACTCCTTTGCATGATCACTAACTACCCACAGGGGTAGAGTGACGGGTGATGTGACTCAGAGCTTTAACTCTTTGGAGAATAAAGGAGATGGATCCAGACAGCTCCGAGTCCTCAGTCAGAAGCGGTCACCATCCCGAGGGTTAGCGTGCCAATGCCGTCACATGACCCACGGTGGCAGCACGTGGCAGACTGAGCCAGTAAAGCCCTCTCTGGAGCCATGTGCCACTGCTGCGCATCACACCACTCTCGCACGCTCCGCTTCATCTCTGCCACCCGGAGTCTCAGCATTCCTTCCCCTCCTTCCTCAGAGTACCCCGGGTCTGCCTCTTGTTTCCAACACAAACACTGCAGCATGACATCACGAGCCCTGTTACCCGGCTCTTCCTTCCCAGCCTCAGCTATGACGGCCGCCAGCTCTGGGCTTCAACCGCCCTGAGTTACCTGCAGTCCCGCAGGTCCCCACATACTCTGCACAAGTGTGTGGGTCAGGAATGGGCTTCCTGGGGAGCTTCTTGACCACTCACCTCCACGGGCATCCCTGTGAGCAGCTTTCCCTGCACCTGACCCCCGCCTCGAGGATGATGAATCAATTCTTTACCTGTATCACTTTGTATATATCTGCATTATTATGTGTGTCGTTCTGTACTGCAATTGGGTATATATCCATTTCTTCCATGAAACTGTATCCTTGGGAGAGAGACACTGTGACTTATTTATGTCCTCAGCACATGGCAGAGTACCTGATACATACTAAACATTCAGCACACATTTATTAAAGTAATTAATTAATGCAAGCAGCTGGCAGGAAGCTGCCTCCCATTACACACCCAGGCAGGAGAACACCAGGCTAGGCATGCAACTGGCCTAAAAGGTAGATGAGTTAATTTATTGGCTTTTGTCAGTGAGTTGCATTAATGACATTACTGATAAAAGCTAATAAATTCATTCATCTACCTTTTAAGCCAACTCCGCACCCAGCTCTGTGGTTCCTTTGTCTGAGGATGTTATGAGAGGCAGCCTCCAGACAGCTGTCGAGATTATTTGTTGATTGCCTATATTGAACTAAATGCTGTATGAGTTGCCATGAAGGATCCAAAATGAATGAGACACAGGCCCTGCTCTCGGTTCTCCCATTTGAGATCTTGCATTACTGCAGATCATCAGAAACACACAGTACTTATAAGGCTGGAGTAATGTTACTCATTGTGAGTTATAATAAACAAAACCCAACAGGGAAATCTAAACATCTGCTAGCAGGTATCTTAGGCATTGCATAGATCTTTTCTTCTGTGCTCTAGCGGGCTGTTCTGTCTCCTATTAAATGACACCACAGTCCTCAACTAAATGATCTGTGTGCCCCTGCTCTCCTCCTGAACCACCAAGGACCCCTCATTAATTTCACCCCTTTAATGTGCAGACTATATTGTTGCCACTTTCTCAAGCTTCCTGGCAGAGTTGTTGCTTAGTGCCATCTCCAGATCTAAGATTGGTTTTCCTCTTCTCCCCACAGAGCAAGCTACTACAGGAAGGGAGGCTGCGCAATGCTGCCTGTTAAGTGGATGCCCCCTGAGGCCTTCATGGAAGGAATATTCACGTCCAAAACAGACACGTGGTGAGTCTCTCTGCTACCCTTCTCCAGGTATGACTGCAGCCTTAAGGCGGTGCTCCTGGGCCGAATGATTCCACACTCTCAGCGGGGAGACCCTGTGTTAGTAGGAAGGAGAAGAGAAGAATTAACACCTCCCACAACAGCGGTTCTCAGATGTTGGCATAGATCAGAATCATCAGAAAGGCTTGATAAAATGCAGATTACTGGACAGCACCCGGGGTTATGATTCAGAAGTCCTGGCGTTGGGCTGAGAATTTGCATTTCTAAGTTCCCAAGTGATGCACGCTGAGAGCCACATGTAGTCTTAAATGGCAGATTGAACCTATGCTCCCTCTCAAGGTACACACACACACACACACACACACCCCCCAGGAAAGGGAGTCTTTTAAATTGCATTAAACCCCACAAGGACACAGAAGACATCAATGTCAACATTTTGGAAACTGGGAAGCCCATGGGCAAGTGGTACCTTGCTGAGGAGACTAGCAAGTTGGTATCTAAACCAACAGTTTGGGTCCAGAAGCAGGCTGGTTCACTCTGCCTGAGAGCCCCAAAAGGCCCAGGAATTGAAAGTAGGGGTGCAGCAAACAGGAAGATTAGTTCAAGATCTGTTTAAGAAGTAACTAAGAGGTCTAACAAGCCCATTCCCTCACCTGAAGCTGCTGACTGCCCCTCCTCCACCATCAGCGCGAGACTGAAGAGATTCCCCTGGTCTCTCTGGTCTTGGGAACACAGACCTCACCAAGGGTGAGATCCTCTATGATAAGCAGGAATATTTTCTTAAAAGCCTGGCTGTGGAAGGGTGTATGGCAGCCTTTGTCCCCTCAGCACCAAGAACACTGGCAGCCAGGCAGAGCAGAGGCCTTTGGAGGAACCGACCAACAAAGAGAAACTATGGAAACAGTACTGATAAGGGGGCCACCCAGTGCAGCAGGCTGAATGGTGACCACCCAAAGGTATCAGGGTCTAACCCCAGAAGCCCAGAATTGTTACCTTAGAAGAAGAAAGGGTCTTTGCAGATGTAATTGAGGGTCTTAAGGTGGAGTAGTTGTCCTGGGTCCTCTAGGTGGACCCTAAATGCCACCACAAGTGGTCTTGTAAGAGAGAGCAGGAGATTTCACACGCAGAAGAGGAGGAGGGAGCGTGACCAGAGGCGTAGATTGGAATGACACGGCCACCAGTGAAGGAAAACCAGCAGCCACCAAAAGCTGGAGGAAGCAAGGAACAGAGTTTCCCCTAGAGCCTCTGGGCGGGCACAGCCCTGCCGACACCTTGATTTCCGCTCCGTGCCACCCATTCCAACGTCCGGCGTTCAGAACTGTGGGAGAATGAACTTATATTATTTTAAGCCACCAGCTATGTGGCAATTTTTCACAGCAGTCACAGAAAACTAACATGCCCAGTGAAACAATCAAGCTAGCTGCCCACCGGCTGACAAGTCTCACTCACCTAGAACTTTCCATCAACTTCTTAATGTCCCAGTCTTAAAATATGAACAGACAGCCAAGAATCAACATGTGAGAAAAGATTCTAATCTGAAGAAAACAAGCTTTTAAAAAGGAACTTGGAGAAAGAAAAATGTAGAAAGCTTAGGAAAACTTTTTTAGAAACTATAATATCCTTGGAAAGATAAAAAATATTGCAACCATAAACAGAGGATAAAAGGTTATTTAAAACAATACGTTTAGTTGGAAATAAAAATATGACGGCTGCCCTCAAGGAGACAGAGCGTGACCCCTCTGAAGCCCGTGCGGGCTGCAGGCAGCAACTTCCTTGCAAAGGGTCCAGGGTGGAGGAGAAGGGAAAAGGGAAACCCCACAGTGGACAGACTTGACAAACACGACCTCAGCCAGGTGGTCAAGGTCAACATCAACAGTGATAATAAGTCACGTTGACAGCATGTGACCTTGATCTCGTGTGATGAAAACGGCACTTTGCTCTGTGGTCTTCCTCCCCAAACCTCATAACCCCACTCTAATCATGAAAAAAAAAAAACAAAAAACAAATCCAAATTGAAGGATGTTCTATAAAATCCCTGACCAGGACCCCTCCACCCTGTCAAGGTCATAAAGAACAAGGAAAGTCTGAGAAGTTGTCACCGTCAAGAGGAGCCTAAGGAAACAGGACAACTAAATGTCATATGATGTACCAATGGGATTCTGGAATAGAAAAAGGAGATTCATTAAAAACTAAGGAAATCTGAATAGTGTGTGAGTTTGGGTCAATAATGCCTTAATAATGGTTCACTAATTGTAACAAATGTATCATACTAATGTGATGCTAAAAATAGCGGGGACTGAGTGCGGGTTACATGGGAACACTCTGTATTCACAATGTCTTCAAACTTTGAACTGTTCTAAAAAATGAATTTTTTTTTTAAATGACAGAACTGTAAAAATAGAAAGGCTGGGATATGGAACTAAATAAATCTTCTAGAAAATAAAATGACTATAATGAGATGGAATATGTAGGAAAGAAAACATAAGAAAATTAAGAGGATTAGACCAATAGATCCAATTAGCTGACAAAATAAGAGTCCCAGAAAGATCAAAGAAATAACTCACGATTTTCCAGAACAGGACATAAATTTCCAGAATGAAAGCATTCCCCGAGCGCCAGGCACCACCGATACAAAGCGACACATGAGAGAGCACATGGTCACGAAATTTCAGAGCAATGGTGATGAAGATTGTGCACACTTCCAAAGAGAAAAATATAATAATTAAAAGAAAAATGGCCAAAGATAAAAGATAGGGAATCCAAATGGCATCGAATATCTTAACAGCAACATAGGAAACACAGGAAGACAATGAATGAACATTCTGCACATTCTAAAAGTCTGACTGATGTTGAGATAATGTCATAGGACGGTACAGCCACAAAGGCCAGAGCCCCCTTTCGGACTCTTGCTGGATAATGAGAGCCTTTGTTGTTTGCAAGCCAGTGAGACTTGGCTTAGCCTAACCCAGTGGTTCTCAAGGCGTGGTCCACAGACTGGCAGCAGCAGCACCACCACCTGGGAACTTGCTGGAAACTCACATTCTCAGCCCCCACTTCCAGGCCTAAGGAAACAAACTCTAGGGCTTCGGCCCAGCAATCTGCATTTTAACAAGCCTGCAGGGTGATTCTGATGCACACCAAAGCTAGAGCGCCAGCAACGCAGCCTCTCCCGAGACAGAGAGTAATTTAAGTAATTCAGTAACTGCCTTTAACACGTGCGAATCCTGTGACCCAACATTCTAGTATTAAGTGTGGCCACAAATAGACTTGGGCAAGGATGTTCATCTGCAACATTGTTTACAGCAGAGAAAAAGCAAAAACCACCTAACCATCCCTCAAGTAGGGGATGGAAAAATAAACGGTGGTTTACGTACACGTAGGCAAACTATTCAGTAGTGTAAAAGAACACACCAAACCTACTACAAATCTTTATCAACATAGATCTCAAAAACAATGTTTAGTGGGAAAAACATAAGTTACAGAAAGGAGTAGGATATCATTTATGTGTAATTCCACAAAACAAAAAAATAAGTCTATAACATAGTCTTTATTGTTTATGCTTTCACACATTGTTTCAAAATGTGAAAACATACAGGGAAGGCTACATTCCAACTTCGGTGGAGGGGAGGGAGAGAGGGAGGAGGAAGGATGGAGGTGGGGCTTACCTGTATCTATTTTATTTCTGCAAAAAGAAAGGGAGAACTGAAACAACTAAGTCAAAATATTAACATTCAGATACATAGATAGCTATTGTATTACTTTTACTTCTCAAGGTTTAGATTGTTTCATAAATAAAGTGCTTAAGCTAATAAATTATATAACTTCACATACTGGTTAAGTGCTATGAGACAAGAAAGCGGAAGCAGAAGCCATTCTATTATAGCAAAGGTGGAGGGGAAGGCTCCCTGGAGGAGGTGACTTCAGATACAAGCCCTGCTTGCTGGAGGATTGCTGGGGAGGGAAGACAGCCTTCGTGGCCAGAGCTGAGGGAGCCCAGAGCAAGTGGTGTTTGGGATGAAGCATCAGTCAGGGTGAGGACCAGCAGTGCCTTAGAACTCACAGGAGGCATGTGGATTTTGTTCCAAGCACAATGGGATGCCAGCGGAGGATTGTAAGCAGGAGTGCAACGTGATCTTTGTTTTTGAAAAATCCCTCTGGCTGCCATTGAAAACAGACTAGAGGTGGGTAAGAGAAAGGTGAGAGAGGAGGGGGCTTGGCTTGGCCGTGGCGGTGGAGGTCGTGCCAAGTGGTCAGATTCAAGATGTCCCTTGAAGGCAGAGTTACAGGACTGCGAGTGTTGGCTGTGCAGGGGGCAGGGGTGCGAGAGCGGAATCAAGGATGACTCCCCGGTTTGGGGTTTGAGCAAATGGAGGGGCAGACGTGCCTCTGAGCTGGCAAAGAAAAAAGGAGATGGTTTGGGTGCAGAAAGAGTCCTGCCTGGACTGGTTAAGTTTGAGTTGCCTATTAAAACAGGCCAGTGGTGGTGATGAGCGGGCATCTGGTATGTGAACCTGAAGCTCAGAGAATTGCAAAAGACCATGGAAGCTGCTGGCTGGACGATACAGTAATTTCTGGCTCCCACCTTTCCTAAGAGCACGCCTCACCCTCACCCTCTACCACACCTGGAGACAATCTCCCACCCTCAGGTTATGATTAAAGGAAAGTAAAATTCAGCTTTTAAGGACCGATACAGCACAGTTCATGATCTTAAAATGTTTACATCATATTATGTTATCTTAATTGATTTGAATATTTAAAATAATTTAATCAGCAATAACTTATGCTATTTCTATCATTTTAGGCAGAGCAAGTTTAATACCAAGAGAGAAAGAGTGGGATTTTTTTAAATGTTTATTTTTATTTGCTTTTGAATGCTTTCATGCCAAGCTTTGGGCTTTGTTTCTCCTATTTAGGGCAGGCTTACAGGTGATTAAGGAAACATCTAGCATACAAAATATAGCTTCACCTTATCTGTAGCGGTGTCTAGATAAAATAAAAATGGCCAGTTAAAATTGAATTTCAGATGCACAGTAAACAGCTTTTTAGTTTAAGTATGACCTGTACAGTATTTGGGATATATTTATACTAAAAAAGTATTTGTTATTTATCTAGAATTCAAATTTAACTGGGTGCCCCACATTGTTATTTGCAAATATGACAATCCTATTTACCTGGAATTATCAAAGTTCTACAACCAATACTACTTCTTGTTCTCTTGAACTCTAAACTAAGAAAATAAGGATTCACTTGCAGTCTATATTCTAGTTGTCTCAAAGGATACTATGATCTATATTTATCTATCTATTGACAAGCAGAAAACATATAGCTGTAATTCTTTAGGCCTTGTTGCCAGTTTCTTGCTTGTTTGATTTTGCCTGTTTTGTTTTGCCTTGGAGGACAGAAAGACCACCAAACAGAGAGGAAAAATGTACGTGCCAGGCAATCTGTAGGTAGTAGATTCAAGAGATCTAATAACGTGTTCCAGCCCATCTCAGGTTAGCTGTATAATAATCTCTGCTTCAACCTTCTCACCTGAAAAATATGGAAACTATCTTTGCCCAGTCCTTCTACAAGAGTCTACCAAGATGATGACAATAAAATCACTTCATGTCTCTTAGAAGATGAAGGAGCTATAGTTCTCCACAATTTTTTGTGGTAATATTTATTAACATCAGAAAACTACAGCCAGATACTAAAACAAAGATAGGCTTTCCTTGTAAAAAGCTAATAATTAAATTAAAGGTTTAAATTTTAATCAAAATATCAAAGAAGATTATTTTGGAATATGATAAAAATCATCTTAAAGCTCATTTAAAATAACAAATGAGAAATCAAATATTTTTAAAAAGAGAGAAATAAGAGAAAAATGCCCTATCAGATATTAAAACAACTACACAAAAAGCAAAACAGAATGTTATCAATGCAAGAAACAGACAGATAGATGAAGAGACAGCCCTGAAACAGACCCGGTTTTAATCATAAGTCAATAGGTAAGGGGGAAATTATTTTATCAATAGTGAAGAGTAGCTGTTTGGAAAAACAAATCAATTTAGATCCTTACCTCACACTATACACCAAGTTAAATTCAAACTGGATTTGAGAAGGGAGAAAAACACTAGAAGAAAATAGCAAATATTTATCTAATCATTGGCGAAGCGAGGATTGTATAACTATAAAATAAATGAAGGAAATCACAAAATTTTTTAAAAATAGATTTAACTACTTAATAAAAAAAACTTTGGTATGCTAAAAAGTAAAATTAGAAAGCAACTAATATAAGTATTTTAATTTTTGATAAAAGGTTAACATCTATGTAAAGAGTATCTATAAATCAAAAAGAAAATTGATAGATACCAAAACAATTTGCCCCAGTGGATAAAAATGGGCAAAAGATATGAATACACAATTCACAGGAGAAAAAAATAAAATGAATTAATAAACAAATACTTGGGAAAACATTCAACCATGTTGAATGTCAACAAACATAAACATAATTCAAGTCAGTAAATGTAATTTAAAATATTCCACCTTTTTTTGTCTTAAAATCGGCAAAAGTTATCATCATTAATAAGAATACTCAATTTTGGTGAGAGTGCCTTACTCTTGTATAATGTTGGTAGATGAACAGAGGGACACCTTTGGAAATCAAATCAACACTATGCATCAAGAATTTTTCAATGTTCATATTCTTTTGATCTAGTTATTCTACTAGAATTATCCTATATTGTACTAGATTTTCCTAATCTACTAATTCAGAGAATATATCCTAAGGAAATCCTCCTTTCAAAAATGCTTAAAGATGTTCACCATAGTATTTTAAATATTTCAAAAATTGAATACAATGTGGAAATGACAAGGCAAATTATGGCATAACTACTCAATGGAATGTTTTACAGTCTTCAAATTCTATTTATAAAATATATTAAAATGGAAAATGTTCATAATGAAATGTGCAAAAATATCAAGGTTCAAAATTACACATTGAATGTAATTGCAACTAAGTAAAAAAAAATCTGAGCACAGAAACTTCACTGAAACAGAAAATAACATAACTGGTTGTCTTTTAATGGAGCATCACACGCGGTATTTAATCTTCATTTTTATTTTTCTGCATCTTAAGAATTCTCTATCATGGAAAAAGTTATAATGAAAAAAGATTAAAATGTTACATCTGTGTGTGCATGTGTGGGTTTGTGTGTCCACATCCACGTCCCTATCTTCTGTCCTGTGCCCAGGTCCTTTGGAGTGCTGCTGTGGGAGATATTTTCCCTTGGATACATGCCATACCCTAGCAAAAGCAACCAGGAAGTTTTGGAGTTCGTCACCAGTGGAGGACGGATGGATCCACCTAAGAACTGCCCTGGGCCTGTGTATGACTCTTTTAGGAACATTTCTACTAGCTACTAAGCACGGTTTTTCTTTCCAAAAAATAACTGGAGCCACCTATGCTTCTTTAAGACAAAAGAGCAGATGGTTGCCCTCACTCAGTGTGCCCCAAGATAGGAATGTGTCTGTGACTTCAGTGAGATGGGCCAGTCTTCCAGCCCTTCAAAAGCAATAATGCCATCCCAGACAAAGTATCCACTCTCCAGCTGGAGGCTATGGACTCACCCCGTCTACACCCCTCAAGCGCCTCCTAGGAATCCGTGTCCCACACTGAACCCCTGCCGCCCCTCACCATATGTCTGAGTCTCCTTTAAAAAATCACCGTTCCCTGCTATTTCTGCTGCCCTGTCTGGCATCCCTCATCTCCTTCCCACAAGCAAAGTTGATGGGAAATAGAATATTCTGCCCCAGAAGTGGCTTGAGTTCAGCAGTGGAAGGAGAGGAGCCATATGTAACGTAAACTCGAGGATGTCTGTCCAGGCGCTTTGGAGGTTATACCTTTACACCTGGGCGCTATTCCTTGGTCTATCAGCAGGGGGCAGCATATGCCAACCACATGGGCCCTAGATGCGTTACCACCCTCACAGGCATTTGTGCCAACTCTGGTCCCAATTAGAAAAGTGCTGGGAGAAATGCATTTTTCATCCTGTGCTTCCCTTGATTTTAATTAACGTGCTTATTCTTTTAGATACCGGATAATGACTCAGTGCTGGCAACATCAGCCTGAAGACAGGCCCAATTTTGCCATAATTTTGGAGAGGATTGAATACTGCACCCAGGTATACGCATTTTCTCCCCTTGGCCAACATTCACTCTATATGGAAAAGCCTTAAAGATGGAAAATACAAAAATATGAAATAAGTTAAACCAGTCAGAGAATACGAGTTATGATCATGAGAATGAATATTGATTATCTGTAAAATGTAACGACTGATGTCTCAGTTTGCCCATTTTGTAAAATAAATACTGGTAACTTTCACTTTTTTCACCAACATGTGACACAATGCCAGATACTCTGTAATATCAGGGAATCTATTCAATTCACAAGTATTAGCTAAGTCCCTACTGGGTTCCTAATGTTTTATTAGACAAAATTAAAGCTTCAGAGAAGTATGGAACACACTCTCAAATATTTTATAGCTTGGCTGGAGAAATAACATGTGAAATAATGAACAACATATAATTGCTAAATTATATGGCTATATATGTTAGAGGAATTGAGAGAATGAAAATTCAAAGTAATCTGGAGAAGTTTTAACATCATCAATAGCGTTTGTATAGACTCCATATAGCCTTTATACTACACAAAGCACTTTTTTGTATTTCATTTTATCCTTATTGAGGAACGTAAAATGTCCCCATTTTACAGATGAGGAGTTAAGGCTGGGAGAGGACGCCCAAGTCAGACAGATTTCT